TATATTCCTATGTACTTGTATATTCAATCTCGTGCCTAGTCACTCTATTATTTCATACATCTCTTAACTCCTCCACCAAATAAAACACGGTCTTCCAATATATGAATCCTTTCTTTTTTGCGATGTATATTTTTAAATATAAATATTATTAAATCAGCTTTCGCATGCAATTTTGCTTGCGTGTGATATTCGATTTTTTACGGGTTTGTTTTAAACAAAAATATAATATATTGATTATATTAATAAATTACTCTTTGTTTATTTAGTTTATTCATTTAAACAACTTTATTGGTCAAATAAAAATAGGGTACAAAAGGCGGACTTAATACTGGTAGCAGTCTCTACCAGTTAACCTTTAAGATGAACAGTGAATCACGAACGCGGTACTTCATTATTGAGATAGGTAATGGAAATAACCACTAATAATATGTACTTATACAAAATAAATATAAATATAATGCCTAAGTTTCTTTATGTATTTAAAACTAACCCATTTCTTTAAATATGCTACAGGTCCGCTGAATACATTTGTAGCTTCTTCGTTTAATACTCGGAACAGCTTTAACACGAAACTGTCACTAAAAGCAACGGCTACAACGGAAAATCCATTTGAGTTCAATACAAAAAAGTCGGGTTTGAATCCATTTTAAATACGTGAACTTTTTCCTGTTAAAAAAATCACCTAGATTAGCGAGCATTACTGGCTCTGACCAACCTCGCGGATCTAACTTCATACAGAGTACATCTCAACTTAGATTAGGATTAATCCACGTTTTCGCATCCGCTCCCAGTTTTTCAGAGCTGGCTATAAAGATTAAACTGTGTTTCGTAGAAGCTTACAGTTAGATCTTCATTTATTCGTATAATACATTTAAATAAATACAAATAAATACACGCACAGCTGTAAGTAATCCCAGGTAGATTAGTCGAAGGCGCCAGTAAGGGATGATAGGTGACGATGAAAGCATGTCAGTTAGCCCATCGTGACGAATTCCACTAGAATTAACCATGATGGTTTCCAGGGGGAACCACGTAGAGGTGCACCTGATTGCTGGAAATGGGTCAATTAGACCCCATTACTAACAATCCCTTTCCTCCAATATCCTAGATTAACTGAGAGTAACAACATACATATAAGTAAAGCCACGATCTACTGTTAATATAATACTACTACTGCTAATAAAATACTAAGCCAATACTTAAAGGCAGTCAATAACATTCATATGAAACTAGGTCGTTCGATGTTCTATTTTTCATTCAATCAGTGTTATACAAAAAAGTCAGCGCTACCACAGTCTAGATTTCCCAAGCGAACAATTATAGTCTCAAAGATTTATACATAGATGACTAACGGCTAACAAGATTCTGAATATTAAAAAATATGGAACGTTGTCACTGTCCATAAATACTGTTATTTGAATTAGAATTAATTCCAGGATAGTCGAGCAATTATTAAAAAAACTTTATATGCAGAGATAATTTAATATTTCACAGGTCTATTTTGCTCCACAAAAAAATTATCAATAATTATTAATACACGAAGTACACACTAATTCAGAAGTATTTTAAAAATAGTGATTTTTGGGAGTCGCTTACAAATAGCTTACAAATAATAAATTGATGAGCGAAGTTTTATATTTTGTTTATCCATTTAAAGAAACATCTGCATAACATTTGGTGGAACATTTCAATTCAATATACTAGTGCTAATTGTTTTTACATGTAGAGGTACCCACAGTATGCTTTGTGTTTGTGAAACATTTATAAATGGAAATAAGTTATTATTAATTAGATATTAAACGAATAAAGGGTTTTAACAAATGATAAATATTATGATTACAATATAACAATATATATATATATTAGACTAAAGTTTAACGATATATATACATATATGCGCTTTACTCTCATACTTGCTCTTTTGTTAATTCTATGAGGAAGATAAAAACTAATCGTATAAATGGTCTAATTATTTTACGAGATAAAATCTATTATATTGATGAAGATTTCATGTTATAAATTTAAATATTTTCAATCTAATATTCCTATATGAAAAAACTCATAGTTCGTGTATCAGTGTCGCGAGTCATATCGCTGTTTTTTTTTCTTTTGCAGAATAAAATTTACTTGTTCATAGTTATAAATTTCCCAAGAGACTTAAAGTGACGCAATTTCAACTATGAATCTTATTTGACGTATTTTAAGATAAAGAAAAAATATAAACAATTTAGTACAATAGTCATAGAGTTTCCTATTACAACAGGAAAATAGAAAACTTTCCATTTCATTAAGGAAATAAGTACTGAATCTCTGTCGCTATCTAGTTACTCCTTTTCATCAGTTTATCTCACTCCAGAGCTATCAACGAGAAGCGTAAACGATAAATTTGGATTTATAGCGCAAACCATGTGTCGTAAAGAAAACGTTATGGTTATTCTTTAGAGGCCATATACTGTATAGTCCTAACACATATATTAATATTACGATTCCAGTTTTAAAGCCGTCGGTAATAAAAAGAACTAATTTTAATTTTAAAATTCGAAAAACATAATAGGGTCGAAATATAAAAAAGCCGTTCGAGTACAAGTCGGACTCGCGCAACGAGGGTTCCATACAAAATAATCAAGTATATTTTTTTTTGTGAAATAACTACAAATTTGTGGTTTTCGGATGTTTTCCTTTACTTGTGCTCGGAGACATTGCTTCTTGCCAAATTTCATGATTCTAGATCAACGAGAAGTACTCTATAGGTTTTGATTCCCTTTGCGAATATCAACATAGGAGATATAAATGGAACATAAAAGGCCGTAATCTTTGACTGCCTCAAATGTCGGCAACGCGTGCGTAATACCTCTGGTATTGCAGGCGTTCACAGGATACGGTAACCACTTACCATCTGATGAACCGTATGCTTGTATGCCACCTCAGTGGTATAAAAAAATACGATATCACATTAGAAACTATTATTATACATATAAACCATCCTCTTAAATCACTCTATCTAATTAAAGAAACCGCTTCAAAATCCGTTGCGTAGTTTTAAAGATTTAAGCAATCATAGGGACGGACAGACAGTGACAGCAGGCTTTGTTTTATACTATGTAGTGATAGTGAAGTGATGGTGATAGTGATGATGATGATAGTGATACCGTCAAACATAATAAAATGTTAGACACAATTTTCTCTCTCTCCCTCTCTCTCACACACACTCTCAGATTTCTCATTTATTGTGGATTTAAAAAAATATTCGAAATATTTTTAATTAGAACGCTGAGCTAGCATAACATGAATTTAATTTCAAAGAGAGAAAAGAAGATTATAGACGTTACGATGATCTTATTTCCTTATTTCGGATTTGACGACAGTGTACACATCTAATTTATTTTATAAGTATCTACGTAATATAACGAACCGAAATATAATAGGGAATGGAATCAGAATTAAAATTTAATTCACAATTTATTCAACATCAAAGAAATGTGCCGAAGGAAAAGGAAAACGGATGCTTTCTATTATCAAATTAATAATTAATCTATACCCACAAAAAAAATATGTAACTGATAAATATTTTTTTGGAAAAATCTTCTTATTGTGTAATTGTAATCTTTAGATTTATAATCATACATCTAAGAACGGAAAATGGTGTATGCTCTGTTTAAGCATGTTCGGGATTTCTTGAGGCTATTTATTATTTTCGCATATATAACAAATTTCAAGACAATAAGGTTAAGTAGTTAAAATGTCAAGAAACATGACAAACATACTCCATTTTAAATTTATAACATTAGTAACAGTTGGCAAGCATTTTTTTATAAAGCCTAATACATTACACTTAATTCAGCTCTATTTGACATCAACTAATTTACGTGGATATTTATATCTACTGATGACGTCCTCTCATTACCCTCCGGGAGTACCTGCTTAGAAAGTAAAAGAAACTCATTAAAAGTTTTTTTTTTTCGAGGAAAACTGAGCGGTCGAGACCCTGACATCTTCACAATATAAATAAAACTTTACCCATTTTAAAGTTGCTCAGTAATTGACATCTTTATTGCGTGTGAAATAAGCATCCTTTACATAAATTCACTTGGGTCACTCCGCCTCTGCCCATTACAGCATCTAATAATTCATTTTATTTGTTTTTTTTTATTTTCAGAATATGTATACTGATATAGAATATAGGGCATTTTTTCATTTAATGGATGAAAATGTAATGGGGGTTACCATTGCCTGCGCTAACGGTATACGATTAACGGGACATCAGTGAGGGATAATAAATGGGAATAAGAAGGCAGGTATTGGCCCACCGTAATAAATACGCCTGGAATTCAGCACAGTGATTTTCAAGGGAGACCACGTGGAGGTCGACCTGACCCTATACCCATACCCTAGCAATGGGACTAGTAGTCCACATTACTAAAAATTAGCGCCTCTAAAAAAAAGAAGTACTAAAAAAGAATTGTGGAAAATCGAATATAAAAAAAACACTTAAAAATACAAAACTTCAAAAAGACCGGTTGGTGAATTACCAAAAACAAGACAGTTATATTTCTATCTAACATTATATAGTTACCAGTTGAATATGATGAGTGGATTAGACTATGTGCTGGAAAAGTCAAGACTCTCTGAAACTAGCATGTCTAAATGACACGTGAGGCCTTTGAAACGTGTGTGCCATGTTCTCCCACCCAATATATATGTATCAAAAACATACAATAAATTATTAAACCTTATTAAAAACCTTGATATTCATTCGTAGAAAAGAAGTACATACAATTACTTAATGGACCGTTACATAAAATGTCGGTTGTAATCAAACATTGTGAAAATATGAAGCTAATAAAAATACAATTTTTTTTTTTTCCATTTCCGAAATATTTGTTAATTCGAAGGAAACCAATTGTAGCAGAACGTAATTTTCACCTTCGTATATTCTATCTATATTCATTTATTACTTGAATAGATAGGGAGTAGTACTCAATTGATATTAGAAAAGTAAAATGTATTTAGTTTTTTTTATTCTTGCCTCTTTGTTGCTAAGAGTTGAGGCGGGACTTTTCGATAGATACAGCGGGAAAAAAATCGAAGATAACAAAAAGGCAAAAGAATTTCAGTCGACGAGTCTTACCGAGTAAGTTCTGCTTTTATACGTAAAATGTCTTTGTACTTATAATAAATAAGTAGGTGCGCAGTTATTTTTGTGGCGAATATCTAATATTTAATCTGTCATAATTGTTTTGATATTAATAAGAAATTTAAAAGTTAATACTCTAGTTATTAAACTTCTATGAGTCGTCTATTAACTCTAGATATTATATTATTTCTCAAATCTTTAATAATAATATCAATATGAATGATTGTAGTTATTTATTACTATTTACTCTTAAATTGTTGGAAAAAATATGAATAGAATTTTATATGCAGACATATCATCTACTGGACTAACATACAACTAAGTATTTTATATTATAAAACCGCGTTTACTATTAACATTATCTATTTTTTTTATGTAACTTAGAATGGCAAACAAGCTGACGACCCACCTGATGGATAGTGGTAACCGTCGCCTATAGACATGAGCAGTACCATTAACATAGCAGAGTATACCGTTTCGCACATGATACTTCCCATGCGTTGCCATTTCTGAGGACTAAGGTGTTAAATAATAAATTGTTAATTAATTAATAGCATTGTCTATAATTATATAATCCACCTTTTTTCCTTATCTAGCAATTAAGCAGAGGGAGCTCGAGGAAAGGAATTAATGCACATCATTCAATTAAAAAGAGATGATGTTCAATAAATTCAATAAATACCTCTCTATTGCAGGCCCATTTATATGGAATATTTTTGTAGTATTTAATCTTTTCATTCTGGATTTTTCTCTCTCTTATTTCTGAGTATAAAGAAATTTATGTTTTATATGTTCTTATGAAATTCGTAGAAATTTTTACTAATTTTATAAATATTGAAATAAGTTTAATTATTCCCTCTTGATAGCTTAATAGAGCAATCAATAGTCATGAAATTAGATATACAAATAATATTTGGAATAGAAAATAAAATACGCCATATACTTTTGACCCGATCAATCAACATATCCTGATTATGCGGACAAAATCTCGGATAAAAGTTAATGCAATATAAAGTGATAAATGAACTCATTAGTGTTTTTAAAAGGTAAACTCGACTTTTTCGCAATGAAATATGTTGAGTCAAAATAGAACAAAAATCTTTAGTATCACATACTAATTACTAATATGACGCACTTAGTTAATATGAGGAGGCTTGTATACCCTATAGAAGAATATAATAATAAAAGATACTAAAATAATATCAGATAATAAAGAAATAATATATATATATATATATATATATATATATATATATATATTTCTTTAATAAAAATATTCAGTTTTACCTATAAAATATGATAATAATTTAGATTTTGCTGCGTAGTATAACAGACAGGGAACGATAATCCAATACCCTATGACACAGCACTATCACGAGTATACAAAATTGAACGAAATCCCCTAAGGAGCTTAAGTCGAAATATGAAAATAATGTTTGATCCTTTCACAAAATCGGTTATGACCGCGCGGTTTATGCAAAATGTAATAGTTAATACTATAATGAGTAAAAATAATTTTCACAGGGTATGTTCAATAAATATAAAATCCTGTACACCTCATGAAGGCAGTCGGATTGATGGTACCTGTAACAACTATAAATATCCGTCAACAGGATCTGCTCGAGGGCCTTATCTGAGGCTTTTTAAACCAGACTATACTGCCAGTAAGTTGAACATAGTATATTTACATTTCTATTAATCACAATAACTTAACTTGATCTATATATAATAATTATTTAACCACCTCTCAAACAAGGGTGTTAATATGTACAATAGATAGGTAATATGTACGATAAATCACACCCGAGAAAAAAACAACAACGACAAAATATAAAAGGAATGAGTCTGTGCCAACAGTTGAATTCATAAAACTTTTAACTCAGCGTAAATTAAATTTTTTTATACTATCTATTATATAAAAAAATTAATTAGATATTCTATTCTATCTAATAAAAAAGTATATAATTATTTTGATAACTTGTAATTTTTTATAATCAAGTGCTTTTTGCAGATAATACAATTCGCAAAGACATTAATGGAAAACCATTGCCGTCGGCCCGCAAGATCAGGACAACATTACTGTCAAAAGGACGGGTGAATGATCCTATCTTAAACGTAGCTGCAGTTCATTTCTTGGAATTCATCAATAGAGATGTCAGCACACTGAATATATCATGTAAAAAAATATTTTTATACGTTTATTTTATACAAATATTTTTTTTTCTATTTTTTATAAGTAAGTCATACTTATTGTTAAGATTGTAAATAAAAAAATAATGGATAAGTTGATATGATACCCTTAAATAGTAACTATCACTATGTTTTAAATTTAGAATATATAAATAATGTCTCCATAGATATAGATCAAGCTTCGAGAAAAACAGGTCAACTTTTTTATATAATTTTGCGTAATAAATTTTGAGTGATTCCTTTATAACTTCTATATTTATTTTTGTATATCTATATCTTTTTAATGTATAAATACCTATATATATATATATATATATATATATATATATATATATATATATATATATATATATATATAAATGATACACATAATTGAAATCATTTCAGCTTATTTGACAATTCTTATAAAACGTTGACCCGTTTTCGAGGCTCGATGCTCATTCTATCTATATATTCTAAGGTTTTTAGAATACGAGATCTTTCTTCTTCATTCCTCGATATATTCATAGTCGAGGATTATAATCTTCAATAAATAGTACCTCACGAATAATATATTATAGCTACTTCATTTGTTCCTGTCTCTGGCGATATTAAAAAAAAAACTGTAAATATAAGTTCCGAAATACCAAATTTGAATTATGAAATTAAAAGAATTAGCAATATTAGCCACAGCATAAGTGAGTTACTTCAGATTTCATATAAATAGACTCGCGTTACAGAATCTTAAAAAATGACACTTATAACGCTTCTCCAAATAGTCACTATTATCTGAATATCTATGCAGAAAAATACGTTACGTTGCAAGAAATCTTTCTTCAAAATCTCATTCAATTCATTTCAGCTTTATTTGATCAGTTAGAACATTTCACTTTATGTCTAAATAACTTTTTATCATAGTTTATTAAAACAATTTCACAGCGATGTATAGCATCCATCAAGTGGAATTTCGGTAAAAGTTGTATAACAAACACAATGTTATTTTATTTAATACATTTTGGAACAACAATGTTAAAGTGTTTATAAAATATGTTATTATTTCAGTCAACTATCTGAAACATGTATCTGACTGTTGCAACACACAAGCAACAGATCCCCGATGTGCTCCCATAGAAGTCCCCGATGACGATCCCTATCTGAAGGTAACAAATATACGGTGCCTAAACTTCTCTCGTGCCGAAACTTTCAAAGATATAGGATGTACACCTCAAATAAAACATCCAGAACAGGTAAGTACCGCTTAAATTGTACGTTTTATAACACAAAAAAAATTTAAAGACAAATATTCTTAAAAGTTGCGTAATAAATAATTATTATATTTTTAATTATTTTTAATAAAAAATAAAATAATCTAGTTTTGAAAAAAAATAGCATTCTTTTAAAATATTCATCTTTTTATTCGTGTTTATGTATTGTAATTATAAATTGGTATAGCTTGGTGCAATTTGACGGTGCAAATAAAAATATGCATGATTTAAAAGCAAGAAGCATATATATTATATTAAGTACCTATTATACATAAATAAACCAATAAATAAATTTTTAGATCAATTACCAAACACCAACAATAGATCTATCAACTATATATGGAGTGGATGAAAAAGCTCTTAGTACTATCAGGGAATTTAAAAATGGATCACTCCGTGAAGAGAAAATAGCAAACCCTAATAACAAGACTGAAGATTTATGTGTTAAATATCATGAAAATGAAACGATTTGTTATAAATTCGGTAAGTAAGATTCGAGTTTTAATAAGTAAAACATTAATTTAATTAATATATAAAAATAATATCAAATATGTAAATAATTTAAAATAACCTCATTCAAACAATATGTCGTCCCAGAGAACAATGACTAAAGATATGAAACTAAGTGAGATAGGGGCTTGAAATTAACATGTAATAATTGTGTACCTAATTTTATTCTCATTCATTCAGAGAGTACGAAAAGATAAAACCTATTAAGTATCATTTAAAAAGTTATAAGAGATATTAAAAAGCATTTTTTTTTATTGTTTTAATACATGTTTTTGAAAGTTGCCGTGTAAAACACATTTTGTTAGCAAATCTAGCTTTTAGATATAAGATTTGTTTCAGTTTATCAGATTAAATAAAATTTATATCTCTTAATAACTAATAACAGCTATTAATATATTAAGTATAAAAAAATATGAAAACACATGCAAAACAAGTAAACTATCATAAAAATATACAGCAACAGGTAGAAAATATTTTTATTATTACAATTTTTATTTTTTGTATATAATATTATAGACACAATGTTGTATCTACCTCTATCTGTCTACTGTTAAACATAGGCCTCCCAATTGGAAGCCTATATCTTTACTGAATTAAATTCACACGAAAATATCAGACCTCATCTTCCCTTAAAATAAAGTAAAAGATCAAATTGCCAGCCCATGTCCTTTTCTGGACATTATTATCTCTTGTTTTTACAGTAACAAATTGCCCACAAACGCTGAGTCGATCGTTGAAACAAAACACTTTCTATTCGAATATATGAATAATTGATAAAGCGTGAAAATAGAATCTATGGTAATTCTTTCCGAAGAAAATGGAAAACTTTATCACGACACGGTTATTCTCAACACAATCATGCCGGAATGGTGTAATGATTGTGTAAACTTCTGTCCATGAATAAACGATCTACTAAGATACTTTCATTGTCTTTATCTTTTTGTATTCTAGTGGACTTGAATTGAAATATATCGAGAAGTAAAGTAGAAATCAACATAAACACATTTGGACTGAATTTGGGCCCAAAATTGTACTATTAGGGTCCTTATCCAAACACTTCAATTTAAGATACCTTGCTTTGTAAATTGGAATTATTCAATGAGCTGAACCTTTCTCAAATACAATGTTTATGTGTATTGTATTTTATGCAATCTGATAGCATATATGAAAAGACAGTGTGTAATGCCGAATTAAGATTTTGTCAAAATAACCTGAATACAACCCAATATAAAAAAATAATTTACTAAATTTTTTATACCATATTTTTTTAGAAAATTTAAGTATCTTGCGATTTTTATTTACTTACTATGATATTACTTAACTTTTTGCATATTTTTTTAATGTTGTAATTATTTGTACTTAAATTATATAAATATTAATATTATTTATGATTTTAATTTCTATAAAAAATGAAATTCTAAATAGAAATGAGTTTAAATTCGACTGCATCTTTTGTTCGATTCTATGCAAATTCGGACCAGATCAAAAACCACTTTTATAACTGTTCTCTATAATAATTGAAATATTTATTACTTTTTTAGGATATCCAGAAATAGCCAAGTTTGACCTCAGAACGACAACTTTCAGCCTTTTCTTTATAAGGGAGCACAACAGATTGGCCAAAGCACTCCACAAAATTAACCCATGTTGGAAAGACGATCGTTTGTTCAAGGTGGCAAGAATGATCAATATTGCAACAGCGGCTAATATGTTTATGTACGAACTCCTACCGGAACTTATGGGTATATGAATTATATATCTGTATTTATACACACATTTATATATGTACACAATTTATACATTTGTATATGTACACAAGTCCTTAATTTATTTATTGCAAGAGAAAGCTGACTGCTTACTCGATGCAAAAGTAGTAATATATAAGCATAAATAACACCAATAATGGTAGATTTCAGTGTTACCTTTTGCATAGGGCATGCAAAAATAAAAAAAAATATAGTAAAATAGGTTAATAGATTCTCTGAGGGGCTATTATGAGTGTTTAAAACCTAAAAGTTGAAGAGATTAAATTAAGCTTCCCTGTAAATTGGGCAAGCAAAACAGGCCAGTTTGTAGTCTCATAACCTAAACCTGTCAGGTTTTTAAAAGTTTATAATTAGCCTGCTGACAGACGTTGCTCTGTTTAATTTCCACTTTTTTTCCTAAAATCTTTATTTCCATTATTACGATTAAAAAAGTACCCTTTCTCAAATGACTTAATTAATTTTATTTATATAGTCTATCATAGTATAATCTATAGTATTTCATTAATTAAAATGAAAATTTATTTATGAAAATTTATCATCTTTTCAAAGGAGCAGTTCTTCTTTACATTACGTATATTGAATTCAATATTTCTCTGAAAACTATGAATAATAAATGTTTACATTTTGTACATTTTCGAATACAGGATACAGAAATATGATAAATCATGGTCTAATATCGAAACACATTGAATACGTGACTGCATACGACGAAGATGCGGTCCCATTGGTATACGCCGAATACGAACTTGCAATGAGATTTTTCCACACTTTTTGGGATGGCCGTATCAAGTAAGTAGTAAACTGATTTGAAAGAGAAATTAACGTGGCAAATTAAGTAAAAGCTTGTATAAGTATTTACTTTAATGCGCTTTTTTTTGACTGATTTGAATAAAATATCTATAATTCCTGCGCCATCGATATACTCTAGCGGGTGATTGGTGATAGGTCAGGATGAAGCAGACCGGTTAGACCATTGTGACGAATTCAATAATAAATTAACCACGATGGTTTACAGAGAGAACCGCGAATAGTTTCTAATAGGATATGTATATTGCCAGCAATTAGGCAGTTACTCCATTACTATCAAACCCTTTCTTTCCAGTTCCACTTAGTTACTCCGGGTTGCAACTCGCAGACTAGCTGATATTCAAGCAGATGAAAATTATGCCTCTGTTCTAGAGGCTGAAATATTGTCGTCTAACCATTCATTGTCGGAGGAAAAATGATTGATAGTAATAGGGATCGAATCAGCCTTATTGCTAGCAATACACATTATCAGGTCGACCACCACACGGTTCCCCCTGGAAACCATCTTGGTTTATTCTGTATGAATTCGTCACTATGGACCAACTGACCTTTTTCATCCTCATTTATCATCAAACACTGATACCCCGCTAGCGTATACCGATAGCGCAGGCGAGGTTACCATTCCATTATCATCCAATAAAAAAAAGACTCATTGTCATGTATCTAAGTCATAGTAATAATATTAAATTATGCCCCTATATTGAAGGTTTCCAAAGAATATATATGTATACATATATATTTTTACATTCATCAACGACAAACTATAATTCTCATCCCTAATAAATCATAAATCATGCAACGCAAAATAAGTTTATTTGACATTTATATTACTACGCTACTAAATAATATGACCGCATTTTACTTTTAGAAAATATGACGAAAATCTGCATTTTGTTGGAGATTTGACCTTAAGTGATACATTATTTAGTTATGATTCAATACAAAATGATAAGATTTTTAAAGAAGTCAACCGTGGTACGTTCTTTCAAAACGCTGGGAAAATTGACGATATTATTGATCCTGAGGTATGTAAAAAAATATATATTATGTATAATAAACGTAGCTGAATACATCTACACTATGAAATAAATATCTTTCTACGCCTTGTAGTCTCTGCGTAGAATAAGTCACCCCTTTCGTTCCCATGAATGTCATAAGAGGCGGCTAAGAAAACTTAATGATCGAGGTATAGGCAACAGCGTCCCTCTTAGAACATCACCAAAACCTAACTGCTGTGGCCAATCCGCTTGCCAAGCGTGGTAACTACGGGCAAAACTCCCCTTATAGGAGGAGACTTTGTAAAGATAAGGAATAAGGGATTCTTACTAAAACTTTAGTAACGCTGCGTTGCGTTACTAAAATTTTAGTGTGCGTTGCGTACGCTGCGGAAACTATTGGTGATAGAACAAAAGTATGTTCTACAATATTGAAGAAAATATCAATAACTACAAAAAACTTCGCGATACTATATTTTTTTTTATACCACTGATGTGGCAAACAAGCATACGGCCCACCTGATGGTAAGCGGTTACCGTAGCCTATGAACGCCTGCAATACCAGAGGTATTACGAGTGCGTTGCTGACCCTGAAGAAACCTCTTTACCCCCCTTTTGAAGAACCCCATGCTGTAGTCTCTCGGGAAAACCTCGGCAGGGAGCTCATTCCATAACCTGATACTATATGTCCAACTATTATCGTTATGTCACAATAACCACTTTTTAATATGTTGTAAAAATGTCCACCCGTGCGAAGGCGGGACGGACCACTAGTATAATTTAAAGAGAAAAAATAACATGAAATATTATGTTGATTTTTAACATTTGCAAAGACAGTGTTTTGGTATCAGGTTTTTCTAATCAGCTATCCAGTTTGACAGAGTCCTCTTAGTCTCCATAACAGGTTAAGTTGAAAGTGAAAAGTTAAAACAAAGTCCGTATGTAGAATATCTAGAAGTATATCTGAATGTTGAGAAAATCGCCCGAGTCCAACTTGGTAATTAAGAAAACTTTGGAACATTTTAAAAACTTCATTTTTAAAACTGACTTGTACAAAATGTTAATGGACGAAAGTTTTATGACTGCATTTTTTCTTTTCTTTGAAGATTTCAGAGAATTTCTATAGTAAAATAGAAAAAGCGCATGATCTCATGGCCGAGGATATACAAAGGGGCAGAGATATGAGTGTACCACCATATAATAAATACAGACAGTTATGTGGTATGACACCGGCTAAAAAATTTGAAGACTTTTTAGACGCTATGAATATTGAGGTATATTTTTCACTTGTTTTATCTTAACTTCTTTTTTTATTTTACTTGTTTTCTTAATAAAATGATTTCCATTTAATTATTTTACACGATATTAGTCATACTATTTTTAAACTATTTAAAAAGTAAACGTGAATGTGAGTTGCGTACGTACCTATGAACATCATATTATTTAACTTCATAGAAAATGGAAACTCTGAAGACACTTTACAACAATGTAGATGATGTAGATTTGTTCGTTGGAATTGTAAGCGAAAACTTTGTCCAAGAAGCCCATATAGGACCAACTCTATACTGCATTATGGCAAAGCAACTTCAAATATTCAGATTCGCCGACCGATTTTGGTTTGAAAGAGGTGACCAATTCCACAGCTTTTCATTGTGTAAGTATATGTAATATTTCTATTACCTTACTAATTTATATGTGAAATCTATCTATTTGTAAATAATATATTTTTCGAAACATATTATTAGTCCAGACCTATCTTACTAATATATCAAAATTATAACTAGATGATATATGTACATATGTAGAAAGATATTTAAGAAAAATTTTAAGAATATAATAGAATCTTAATAAGTGCAAAAGTAACCAAAACAATATAATTAAGATTTTTGTCTTTGTCTGTCTATCTGTTTATTTGCTGTGGCATTACGCAAAAACAACTGCATCAAATTGAACGCGATTTTCTTGCATATATGAATGAATGTATACCTAATATCTAACTTAAAAACTGGTGTATATTTTGTCTAGATACACTATCTAGATGTAATACATTTCATTGATTTACTCGTACTTCTGAAATCCACGCGTACGAAGCAGTGGGTAAAAAACTAGTTGTAAATATTAATATTTATTTAATGAGAGTCAAAAGACTACATGATGAAACACTTGACTATGACTAAAGTAAGATGATGAAGCTCTCAATAGCACTCAGATAATCAGTAATTGTAATTGTTTATAATTATTATAAGTTTACTATTGTAATCTTTGAAGGAAACAATAAAGAGTCTCTATCTATCTATCTCAGGATCTTAGCAAAGTTTTAACTAATTAAATAAATAAAAAGAAATAATAAATTATAGACAAATAATCATTAATTTGGTGAAATAACAAAAAAAAATCAAAATAAATTCCAAAAACTTATTTCTACGTTTTCGTTTACGTGTCTACGTTTTATGATAATTTATAAATATTTCTTACATGACTGCTTCAATTCAATCGACCATTAAGCAGTTTAATATTACTTAAGACTGTTTAATTAATTGATTATATTGAATGAATAAATGTATTTACATAAAAATGTGTATTGAAATAGATAATGAATAATATTACGTCTTAATAATATTTTCTAACAAATCGAGATTCAATTTTTTTACCGTGAAAATTGCTGTTCAAATTTCGCAAATCTTCACGTATTTACTTGATATTTTGACGTTGTAAATATAAAAATATACGATTCCACTGTACAGTACAATTTTCACAGAGTGAAAGTTGGAATTAAAACTTTTTTCTTTTATGTATTGAATATTCATTTTGACGCGTAATTTATTAAATAATAAATCTGAACTAAATAGGCTACGTTACAGTACAGAATATAAGAAATTAAATAAAAATTGTGTAATGAAACATCTTTATACAAGTTTTCATCTTCTCTTTATAACATATTTATAATAGATTTTAATATATCTTTTCTCCGGCTATTTTAAAATAATGCTTTCTTCCTGTTTTGGAATAAGAGTAAATGTTTTCCGAGCAGGTGTGATGTAATATTACACCTGTATGTGGTGGGAATTCAAATGCGATGGAATTCGAATAACCATTCGGTCCGTTGATCGCTGTTCAACAATGGAATTGACGTTTTTAAATATTTGCAGCTCAATTACATGAGATCAGAAAAAGCAATATGGCGCGGTTTGCATGTGACAACGCCGGTATCGAATTCATTCAGCCGCGCGCATTCTACGTTCCAGGCCATGGTCACCAGTACGTATTTGCATTTTATTTCAAACTAGCATCCCGCCCCGGCTTCACACGGTATTTTTTATAAATTAACAACAGCCCATGTTATTGAGGGGAAAGAGATTGTTAGTAATGAGATTTAATAGGCCCATTACTAACAATATACCATAAGAATTTGACTTTCATTCCCCCTGGATACGATCGTGGTAAGTTTTTAATGAATTCATCATGATCGGCTTTAATCTCACTTGTTATCCTTCAATGGTACTACGCCAAGATATGCCAGTAGGTACTATAGTTTTCTATAGATGATATAATTTTTAAAAATTAGATTAGTTTAGGTATAACCATTTACTTAGAAAATAATTATATATATATGCTTGTTACTTCATAACTTCCATCAGCTGTAAACAAATTAAACGAACGAACGAAACGAAAAAAACAATTTGGAAAATTCTTTTTTTTTTATCTTAAAAGATATATGTACTTACAGATTGAATGAATTTATAGAAATTTTAAGTTCACTAGTTAAATTTTTAGATCAAAATACTTGATCTGGACACAATTAAAATCGTTTTTTTTTAGGGACACAATCTTTAATTATTGACAAGTGCAATTTCTGTCTAATTTCGGTGAACTTTTTTGGTTTCGAGTCTTCAGAGAAGTTGACATCCTCAACAAGTGTTTTATAAAATTCTTCTTTCGGGAATATCGGCTTTTCTAGGAACTCTGTGATGGTCCCCCCCCCTTTGCACCCCTTATAATAATTACCCTCTTAACTAACCTACACGTGGGAAACCTACAAAGCCTAAGAAAAGCCTACGAAGGCTTTACCTAATGAAATCTATGAAAATATAATGAAAATCTACCCTAAAGAAAGGCCTAACACCCTCAATATAACCTCATACCTATATTGCTTTATATACCCCAAACATCCTATGAATCATATAAACCCTTATAATAAACTTATAATATTGAACAGATCTTATAGTAGAACACTTGATCATCTGGCCAGATAAATAAATGTGTGATCGTCTAGTAATGTAGGACCCGTTGTGTGTGTAATAACCAAAAGGTTCTTTAATTGGTATATGATAGGAGTTAAATAATGAAGATGATTGATAAGTCTTTAAGGATTAAGAATAATTAATTAATTATACTCATAATTCATGTAACTAGGAAGTAATATTAATTTAATAGTAAATCACAGAATAACTGTAATAATAAAAAAAATGGGGGGAGCGGTCGGGCCCCTCACACGCCCGGACCAGTGGAAGACTTTCCAACTATCTATAACTCTTCCTCCTAAAAGGTAGGGAAGGGTATTACTATTTATTAATGCACTCTGATGGTAATAAGGGCATGAGTATTCTCAGTTCCAAACCAAACATAAGTACATTTACTTCAACATTACAGTGGCTCCACCAGCCCCACGATGCTTCCAGTATAAATTGGTGTTTGCCAGAGGCAAAAGGATCGGAACTGAAATCCCAGGATCACTCCGACACGAGAGCTTACTCATGGGCGATGACCCTTTCAGTCCTATATGGCGACATAGAGATCACCCACTAACAGTACGAAACTGTTTCCCAGCGTCACCCTGTTACGAGCTTACTCAATGGGGGTTTCCCTTCGGCTCCACAAGAGATCAGACCAAGAAGCGAGATCACCCAGACACCAGAACTTACTTTGTTGGGACATAACCCTTCGGCCCTATAATGTGACATTAGAGATCACCTGTGAAGACAGTCCGATAGAGATGAAGATTTGTGTGATAGGGGATACCTTCCACACCCTGGAATTGGCCAAGCCATATAATGTTGATAATTGCTATATCATAACATAGCATTGTCAATTTAATATTATTTACTTAATACCAAGAATACTCAAGGTTCAAGTTAAATCTGTTGATTAGGCCGGAGCCTAAGAACGAGTAGTCCAACCCATAGGTCGAGAGCTACTAAAAGTAATGAGTGCTATTGAATGAACTATAAGTCCAGTCAATTATATATAATATTATTGTTGATTAACCACATTGTGAATTAACCAATTATTTATTCAGAGAGATATATCTAAAGGAACTATAAGTCCTTTAAAAGACACTGATTAATCACAAGTTAACAACGTCTCGTGAAATAACCAGTTGGGTTTTCTATAAGTTTGAGGACACTAAGTCCAACAAGCTATTATTGTGTTGAGAGTAATAGAGATCTTTTGTAATATTTGTAGAGGTTTGATTAATCACATTGTGAAATAATCAGATTAAATAATTATGTAGCTTTATAGAGAGGACTATAAGTCCTAATTGGTTGTTGTCATAAGTACTGATAAACTACACATTAAAGTGCCAGGTCAATTATTATATATAGGTATATAGGAAGGACAATAAGTTCTATTTGTGTATGTTGTAGTAGTAGAGGTAATATATTGCATAATTATAATGTGAAAGATATAGATTAAATATATATTTGTATAGAAAGGACAGTAAGTCCCATACAATTTTTGTAGCTGTACTATAGTTATACTATATCTACTACCTTTTAGTGTCTTAGTAAACCTATTTACTAAGAGGATTTCTCAGATAAACAAGTGTTTTAGTGTTTAAATCATCATGATTAAATCCCTAAGAAATTAGGTCTTTAAATAATTATCATATCATTTAAGTGAAATTTCTCATATAAATAATTCCAATATTTCTCCTACAGTTATTATAAAATAACAGAAAATTATATAAATTTTCTATAGACTTAGATATAGAATCATAACGTGTATAATCTCCTTTTGTTTGACATCTGTCACATTAATGACGTATTGAATGACGTATTGATGTATTGAATTGAATTTTGATTATCTATCACAACTGTCAACGTAACAAATACTAGCAAGTTTGTTTATTTGTATTTGTTTAATATAATTAAATATAAAATCATCATATATCAACCGTAATATACAACTAAATTATCAGTGACATAAATAATCATGGTTTACACCAGAAATAATTAATAGTATCCAGTAATGCTGCAGTTTTATATTCATATCAGTAGCCAAGCTTACTTTCAAATTCAAGAATGAACAGAAGATTAGAAGTTTAACATTCTTATTGCAATTGTACTTGCAATAATATATACATACAGTACTAATTCTCAAGAACATTCCTCAAATACATGTGTGGTGAAGATTTTCCCAATATGCTATCTATTTGATTTCTAACCTCTAATGTAAATTTATTAAAGAAGTAAATAATCAGTGTTAGTGTTTGCTTTATTAATATTTAAAGTAATTGTCCTAACTTGATATTAATAGGATAATATCTCCTTGGATACAGTCTGACATAAACATATAACTCAATAATTAAATTTATAAAATACTAATATTATATTTTACTACTTGTATATCTCCATACTATTCCCATAAAATATTCAAAACATGTATATTAAATATAAATCCAGTAAATATTCACTAATATTAACCCTGTCTGAACTTGTCTAGTCAATATAACATGAACAAACAACACACATATAAACCTTATCGCCATGACAACTTTCCTCCTAAATATGAGTAAAATACATAACTTATACTTGTCATTTAATACTAATTTTATACTGTACCTCATACCTAGTTAAGAATAACTATAGTCAGAGAATCCTTTAGTACATTTATTACCATTAGGAAATAAATCCACACCCATAATATCAGCATAATTAAATATTATTAGAAACCAGTAATACATACAGAATTGTTATTATCAGCTTGGTTACTACAATAAAATCAATATTAAAGTTTATAATAAATCAAGACAAAATATCTATTTAAACAATACAGGCTTGTTTACCATAAACACCCCACAGTCACATGAATTTATCTAGTAACACAATTAATAATGTATTAAAAGTATTACATTCACATAATATCACTTGCAACAGTTAAGCTGTCTCTTTGTACATCTGGTGTAAAACAAATCCCCACATGTAGTCATGGATAATCAAATATAGACTAAGAATCATTAATCTGGTCGACCGAGTAATGGTATAAAAACACATCACCATGAAGCGTTAAGTATGAACAGATATTCCAAACCAACACTGTAATAGTGTAATAAATACAAATATTTCATCATCATCATCGTCTCAACCATCACCAACCCACGACTGAACACAGGCAATTTCCACCGACTGACACAAGGAACGGCCCCACAATACACATAAAACAGTCACTCCAAACAATGGAGGTAGCCCACACCGCACTTGCATTTACAGGGTCACCACTCAATAACCCCTCTCTCTCATCAATGGCTGTTTCCCCAGCAATGAGACCAGACCATAGTCACTTTAGTCTATTATCCTCAATAAATAAATACTTTATAATAACTAGATATGAAACTAGTTAGTATTGTAATAGTTCAATAGTTGATTCAATAAGTATTTTCCAAAACTGGACAATTAGAACATTGAATCAAATTGATGAAGTTCTATCAAACGACCATATAATTGGATTTTGTATATGAGTAGAATAACGTAAGTACGTAAATTATATTGATGTAAACTTTGTTCAAATGTGATTGCATTTAACGATATACGCATTACCTAAAGGTATATGGACTCGACTAAATACGTATTTTAATAGTTGTTGGGAAAAATATTAAGTATAGACTTTGCCTGTGATCACAGTCAAAAATCTAACTACGTAGTAATAAATGGAACAAGCTCACCGGATTCTCCAGTCTTCTATTGATTAATTTCACACACTTAATATAGTGATACACTAAGATCTCAAACCCCTTCATCGAACCAGTCCCTCCTAGATCTATATCCTAGTTATTTTTTTTATTTTATTGCACAGTTCCTTAAAACACGACTCCCGCGCCATTTTTTTCTTTTCTTTTTCTTTTTTATTGCGCAATTCCTAAAAAGCGACTCCCGCGCGCCCGCCGATCTGCCGTCTCTTTTTTCTTTTTTTTTCTATTCTTTCTCTAATAACGTCATAGATTATGTCACCGAAGGGTAGATATTTCAATAATCAGATTTAGCC